GCTAAAAAAGATTTTAATGGGTTTTAAAGCACTGGATCTAAAAAGATCCAGTTCTACTAAAGACTGTATGCTCAGGTGTATTAATTGACATTAAGTTTATGAGAGAATGTGGCTTTTGTTCCATAATTTCAGCAGATTTGTCAATAAGACAAAAATAAAAGGTCTCACTCATGTATTAAAGATTTTTTTTGAACTCTTCTAAACAGTTGTTGCCATTTTTCAATCAGTATATGCACAAGCAAAAGATCAGACATTTTCTATATCAATTTTTGCATTTCTACATTCAGTTTTTCAGACACAGTGATTGTGGAAGGAAGTGTTTTTTAAAGGTGATCATAAAAATGAGAGGGGAGCAAACATAACAGTGTTAAGAACGACAGTACCATTTTTTCAATAAGTACTTATCAGCTTCCAGCTGACCTTTCATTTCTATTCCTCACCTCTTTACCTGATTTTCATTTACATAGTTAAATACTACATATTAGGATTCTCTTCAGTATAATTGTCCAGTACACTATCAACATTCAGCTGATGTAGTCTGTGAGCTGGTATGCAGAAAATATGCCACAGGCTATTTTAATTCTATTTTTTTCATCTATCATTTGTATTGGTTTCATTTTAAGTAGATACAGCTATTGTCATAGCTTTTATCCTACTGGTTCTTCAGGACTGGCACCACTGATGCCTGCTTTACGTATAAATAAACATCCTGTAAAACTGAATTTTGATGTCATCTCCATTAGGAGGAAATAACAACTTGGCTGTCTATTAATTCTAGAAAATACACCGGGTAAAATACAGACTAAGACGAGGTCAACTATTATGCAATTCATTGTCTCTTTACAGCCTCTCAAGTTTTCTTGAGATATGTGGTCCCACAGTATTATAATCACTAGCAGAAAAAAGAACTTTTCACTTCACCTCCGATCCTATACAGTAAGGAGTGAATTCTGCTCACGGAGGCTGCTGAATGGACAGGGGCACTAAGCACTTAATGTCAGCATTTAAGGGCATACAGGACTTTGTGAATGGTCACCAGGTAAGATTCCTTTTTTGTGGATTCCTTTTTTTGTCCTCTGATGACAAAATATATCCAGGGAAAAAATTATCGTAAGGCAAAAGAAAATAAAAATCCCAAACTCTGTCTTCGGTCAGTAAACTTTTACGTTAATCTTCATGTACTACGTCAGTTCTTTGCAATGCATGTATTTGTTGACAGTGCAGATCCGTGCATACGCATGCATTCACAAGACTAGTTCATGAATGTCTGAGGCTGACAGAAATGTCCCCCAGCAAGGTCTTCATCGTAGCCTAGGAGTCAAGGAGCACGCTTCACTAGCAAGTGCCATGCCTTCCTCCTGCAGGCGTCCCAGTTGTGTTTGCGTGGCGGCAGCGCCTCATCATCATATGCCCCCATTTGCATCTTTCTTCTCTGACTATTTCCCCTCAGGTCCTACTACGATTTAAAAAGAGTCTGGACATTATTATCTCAAGATCTGGCTCCATGAGTCTCTTCAATTAATAATTTAACAACAACTCACTGAGAAGGCTGTCATGTCAGCTGAATGCTAAAGAATATAAAATGCTTACAAAACTTATTTTGTGTTGACCTCTGCAGACTTAACGCACTTAAGAGACTGTTTTTATGAGTAATAGAGCTATAGCACACATTAGCAGAAGACACCGCAGTGTAAAACATTGGGCATTTCAAGCTAACCGTAACATTTCTACGTTTTGACGTAAACATCGGCTTACATCCAAAACTCAGAGTGGCTTCACTGCTTCTGACAGTTCCAAAGATATTCGACACTACACAGACATATTTTCCAGCATCCCTTGATTTCTCTGGATTATTGATAACAAGTCTGCCTCCCACCATACTGTAGCGATCCTTTGTTAAATCAATATCCCAGTTGTTGAGTTTCCACCTATTAAAAAAGAAAAGCCAGACGTAAGATTTGGCCCAGAAAAACAAACCTATGAAGAAGTGTGATTTGAAAAATAACTCCTAAGTTGTGATAAACTATACAGGAAGTTATTAATATACTTCTATATATGTTTTAAGTTTCTCTTCAGCAAAAGCCACAGATTTGATAAAACTCCATAGGTCTTTTAAACTTAACAGTCTCAGTCTATTTCAGCCTTGTGAAGATGTGACGTATATTAAAACCTGATTGCTGGCTATATAGCACAGGACACTTGAGCCAGCTGTGAGGGAGCTAGCTAGTGATCAGGCACTGGGATTATAAACATATGCTCAAATAGCTATCTAAGGCCAAACTGGCTAAGAAAATACTCCCTCTGCACCTTTAAAGTATGGATTAATGAAATTTTTAAGAGCTTTTTGCAAACTTGCTGTAGGGAGTGAAAATGTTTCATAAAGATTAACATGCCAGTGAAGTCTGTGCAAAAACAGTGGCACGCCTGATTTAAGACCCACTTACTACATTAAAAAAAATTGCTGGACACTCCCACCTTAATTACTGCAAAACCCCGCAGCCCGTTCACTGAGTCGCTGTAACTTTCACTTCAGGGACTACGAGAGGAACTTGGTGGAGCAGGTCTGGCCCTTACTGACTTCTGCCAGGTACAACACAAGGGGTGGGAACCAGGATTCATGATTTAGATCTGTATTTTTATCTATTACTGCGTCCACGAGGGGGAGCCCATAACCTTCTTTGAAAGGAACGACACCTTTCCTGGGCACAAATGGGAAAAATGCAACTTAAATACGTTTAAAGATCATAACATTCCTGCAGTGTAAATCGCTTTTTTGACAAGGCAACTGACAGGCACCAGCGTTTGAAAACGAGAGCGCATACCCTATGTGTTCCTTCCTTCATAAAACGTACCGAAATACGCAGAATACTCATTTGGAAGCTGAGATTGCAATTGTCATAGAGAGAAACAACATAAGAAGTGGTATTAAGAAAAAATAAATTAAAAATAGACATAAATAATGAAATGGTAAGATTTTCAAGATGCAATAAATAGCATTTAGCTTTTACAGGATTTTAGAGGTATCACTTCAGTCCTGTGAGATATACTCCGTGTGTGCATTACAAATAAATCCCCTGCTCAGAAACACCTAGGAATAACTGTCATGAGGACAGCCTATGCTGCAATGAAAGAGATCAGAAAAACATTACAAAATGTGTACCTGTGAGGAGTAAGAATTAAAAATTGTTTTCTTCTGATTTTATGAAAGATGAAAACACAGTCGTATTTTTATGATATATCCTCAATATTTTTTCTCTGAGCATGGTATTAATTGATAATCATTTGTTAAACAGGGTTACTCTGTAGTATAAAAAATTAACCTTAATGAAGATAGTCATGTGACCTTCTTCCTCAAACCTTGCCTCTTAAATGGCAGCTCCTTCATTCCACAAAAGGTGTGTTTGTCAGTAACCTCATTCTCATGGGTAGTTCTCACCAGGGTCAGCTGGTGAGTGTTTCTTTTACATGCACAGTGTTTCTCACACAGAGTCAGATGCCTCATGACACCCAATCGGATGCACAGAGATTAAAAGAAGTTGTATCTCTCTAGAGCTGGGAACAAATATTTGGGGTTTTTTCCCTATTAACTGCCTAGCAGCTTGGGAAGATGTATTAGTAAAATGTGTAGTTATCTATCTGTCTTCTCTGTTTCCAAAGCTGGTTTGAGTTTCTTCCAGTTGAGATGTAAAACTGCAGGAATATACATATAAAGAGACCTACAGTGAGTTAGGAACCATCCAAGAGGCTATATCTGATGGGAGACTACAGAAAGAGGTGTTTGAAGAAACCTTAGGAATGGTAGAATCACCAAGAGACCTATGAAATCTCTAAAGATGGTAGGAACGCTACAGAAAAAGGTCACTGGTAATCAGCAGTGTGTATTTGCATAAAAGGTCATTTTGGGGGAAACAGTGCAGTAATCAGAGTTCCACGATTTGCAGAAAGGACTGGGGACTAAAGGACTCATATCTGGTCCCCGTGAAAGTATCTTGCCTTCCATAGCAGGGTTGAAGGCTCCAGCAATGACAGGGGGAAAAAAATAGATTCCTAGAAACTACAGTGAGTATTTGAACTTTAGCAAGGATGAAGGACCATCAAATACAGAATAGTGGATGAATGCTTAACAAACAGGGAAAATGAAGAACTTCTAAAAGAAGACAAAACAGAAGTGGCCAGAAGGACTTCTCTACCTCTAAAACAGGAGAATTTTGGCTCATGAACTGTTGCAGGGCTAAGAAATGAAGACAATATATTGAGGCAGACTAATATAATGAAGTCAGGAAATAAGGAAAGTGGCCTTATTCTGTATCGAAATTATCATCTCATCAGCTATCAGCAATAACTGTTATATTTTTTCCTAAATAGAAGAGCTCTGGAGGTGCGAGACAATTCTCCCAGAGTGACTTTACTAGTTCAGATTTTGCAGAGCCCATGACAGATAACGAAGAATGCTAAAATTTATGTAGAGCCTGTAAACCTCTATAGATGATAATGTTTACATAGTCTTGCAGACAGGGTGGGGTAGTCTCTGGACAGACTGGAAGTGATGGGTAAGTATATCAGAAGGGTACCTAATCTAAGCGTATCTGATCTCTCCACATTTCCAGTCAGTTCCAAGCATGGGGAGAGCAAACAAGTGCAACAGCAAAATGCCATGTAGAAAAACCTGTAAAGATACTAGAGCCAGGGATTATGTTCAAAACGGATATACTAGCTTCCCCTCAAATCCTTCAGTCACAGGTTGTTCTGTATATGTAGACAACCTGTAAGCATGTTTAAAAAAAGGCAATGAAGACTAGTTAAGCTGTTTTGATGGAAGAAACCATAGTTCACCACAATATTGTAACAGATTTAAAAGAATGGCCAGGACTCAACTCAACTTTTGAGTCCTCAACAAAGGACTCAACTGCTTTTTCTGTCTTAACAACCAGAGTCTAGGAACACACGTAAGTGAGTATGAGGGCAAATCATAGGATCACAGGATAATTTAATGAAATGGATCTCTTTTGCTGGCAAGAAATTGGATCTGTCCCTTAGTATGATGACAGCAGTATTCTCCCCACGACTAGGCTGTAAATTAGTCATGGTCTTAGTAGTGACAATCTTCAGTACATTGCCCTGTACATAATGAGCAGATAATAGCCGACAAACTCATACGGATGCTCTGAAATCTCCATATGAAGCAGAATTGTCCTGCTAATAACACTGCAATTACTCTGAAAGAGGTCACGTGTGAATCTCTACTAAAATTAGCTGAAACATTTTCCCAGAAGAGCGTTTTTCATGCCTTCAGTAGCACAGCTGACACATTCATGAGCGTCTCTGCAATATGGTGGATGCAAAAGAAACATAGGATGTAGAATATCCAAGTTCAACAGCCAGTCCTTCTTCTTTCAGAGTAAAATAGGATAAAAAATCAAGAACTTGCAAAAAATCAAGTCATGAAAACCTTGAACCTCAGTCATCCTTAGCCTAAGCCAGAAAGATAGCCTCTTAATGTTTTTTTAAAGGTCACTTTTTTCTGTTTGCATTTGGATCATTATTCCTTTCAAAAGCTGGAAACATTTAACACAACATGAATGTACTACTTTCAACACTGTCTAGACGTTTTGGCAAATTGAATGAAGGTTGATTTTTACTCAGAAATTGCAAATCTCCCTGTTTTTTCCTGCCTAGAAGACTTTGTTAAGATAGTCAATCATTTAATACCACAACCTGAAACACTCACTGAGTAAAATACATAAGACCTGAAAATCAAAACAAGAGAGTTACCTGTAAGTAGGAAAAGGAATTGCTCGAGCCCTGCAGTTCATTGAAACTTGTCCATCTGAAGATTCTTCTGGGTAGATGGTATCAATGGGTTGCTCCTCAAAAACGGGTCCATAACCTTTGTTTCCTTCCTCTGCAAAAATCGAGTTTAAAATTAATAACCTTTTAATTAGTAGCCAAACTGAAGATGAATTTACATTACACCTTCCACATTCAAAATGCAAAGGCTAAATAGTAAGCCCTGCAAAATCAAGTTTTATACGCATCAACAAAACCAGAACAGTATGGTTGACAGAAGTGCTGGCCTTCCTTCACTGTCTTCTGCTTCATTCCTGCCCTCTGAGAACAAAAGTAATTTAAACTATGTTCCTGTAAAACTAACTTCTCTGCCTTCTCCACTGACACCGTCAATTATTTGATGAAGATAATTATGAATTGAAGATATGCCCTTTAGGAATGCACTGAGACCAACTTATTCCACCGAGGCCAACAAATTCTCATCAAACAGGTCCCGATGTAAAACAACTATCCAAACATTAAGTGTTTCTTATGTTATAACCTAATCAGCTTCAATTTTTGCATACATTTAGAAAGGATCTTTATTACATCAAACAAAGGAAAACTAATGTCGGAGATTCACAGCTGAGAATTACATTGTTCCCAGAACACATTTCTGTCCTTCCTTTCACGCTTAGGTATATGTTTATGTTAACTCTCTCTCCTCCAAAATAACATTTTAAAAAAGCCCCACATCAAAAATAATTGAAGTTTGTAGAGTCAAGCACTTAAAGATGAATAAATGTCAGACAGGTTTGACAACAGACCATTTTTTTTTTATCTTTTTCCTCCATTTGCTGATGCTGTTGTAAAGGTTACAGGCTCTGCCTGCTCCAGCTGCGTTCCCTTCTCCTTCATCTCCTCCAAGCATACCAGATGGCTCTTTGGGGTCTGTAAAAGCAAGACTAGGAGCAAAGGTGGAACACTATGGGAAAATTCTGCTCAGCAAATCTGGGATGTAACTGGGTTTTTTTTGCCGTGAAAATGGCAAAAGTGCACTCTAGGCACAGAGTGGCACTGTGAGAAGATGGTGCATGCTCAGTATAGATAAAATTTTTGGACAGCATAGCTGCCTAATTCTCACAGGTCTCTGCTGAGACTGAACTCACGGTACAGACACTTGTTAAGTAAACTCATGGGAAAAGCAAAGTAATACATGACTGCTACCAGGTTCACTTTCCCTTCAATCTTTTTAGCTTAAAAATTTCCCAAAGCAATAGTATCTGTACGGCCCATAAAAAATCCACTACATGTCTTGTAATGCTCCATTTAAAAAAACTTCACGTACCGAGACCTAAATTGGCAATGTAACAGATCAATGTCCATAATTAAGTTACGCTTTTGTACTGATCCCCTTAAAATTCTTGCTGTTGGTTTTCAAAACATTAAATTAGGCAAGTTTTATAAAACCTAAGAGAGAAGGAAGAAACTATCTATATAACTAAAGAATGTAAATTATATCAGTATTAAAATATCATATATATATGAAACAATCCTTATGCAGATATATTTTTTACTGCTCCTAAATTCCACATTCATAGGTAGACACTGGATTACAGCACTAGCAGAAAGCTGTTTATAGAGAAAAAGTTAGTTCCCTCCCAGTTCAAGTTTGGGAAAAAATAAATGACCATTTGCCTTCGGGACAGGAGCAGGTCCAGAAGGCACTGCTATGCTGCAACAAGTATGGCCAGGCAACTTCACTTTTAAAAAGTACTTCATGTAATGAGAAGAGAAGCCTTTCAAAGAAGCAAAGAAGAGCAACTAGAAAGAAAGGCAGAGCTTTTGAAAAATGGTCTGCTTGCTTTGATATTTTAAAGCACAACACTATGAAAAAAATCTACATATTGCTAGATAAAAGAAGAAATAATTTCAGACTGAAAGGGCAAGAATCACGTATTTGCTCAGAGCCTGGAATGAGTGAGCCAGAAACCTGACGGCAGTTTCTGTGCAGCTCTTGAATACGAATACAGAATAACAGCGGCCCCCAGCAGCAAACAGCCATATGATATGCACTGACTCTTTCCACCTTAGGGCTCACATGATGTTACGGACCACTTAGGCATTTCATGGCATGCATTTTTCATGCTGCCAGCACTATTCGTTATACTGAGTGAACGTCTGTTTCCCACACCGACCGAGTATGCTTCGTAATGGCACTTCTGCTGCAATCCGTCGTGAATCTGGTTTCAGATGTCTGGCTGAGCGGAAGAAGATGCACGGACTGCACGTCAGGTGTGGCAACCAATACACCTTTCCCCCCCAGGTGTAAGCTGAACGTGGACCAGTGGCATGTAAACAGCATGAGGGAGAAAAGGGAAGAGAAAGGGTTTGTGAAAAGATCAGCAAGAAATGTTGACACTTTGAGTGAAGTACCATGCCTCTGTGACCAAGTTCGGAGGGTGAGGAAGGGCAGACTCAGAGTACAAGGAAAAAGATCAGTTCATTGAAGTTGTACCCACAGGAAAAAGGGGAGAAGTAAAAGTAGGAAAAGGAAGAAGGAAATAGATGCGTTAGATAAACTGTGGATGAGAAGAAAAGCACACTTCTTCTGTTCTGGTCCTGCTTTAGACATGAGGATGGACTCCATGACCTTTCAAACACCCTTACTGTCTGATTTTCTGGGTACATTTCTTGTAATTTTTTTATTGGAGCAAAAGTTATCATCAGATTGAAGCATTCCTCAGTGAGTTCTGCAAACAAGATTCAGACTTTTCAACAGTGTTAAAGTGTATTAGGAAGTTTTTGCAAAGGTCAAGAAAAACTCTGTGCAGCCGGTGAGATCGTGGATCCTGTGTTAAGACCCGATGCCGCTGGAAGGTGGCCCTGTCACCCCTTCTCCAAGCGATAGTCTCCAGCTGGGCAGTGTCATTCTCCCTGTAGGCATTTCTGCAACACCTCTCATGCTTGTCTGACTTCTTAGGTAGCTGCTACAGCTAAAGAGAGTGGAAATCTATTCCCTTCCAGCTTTCTGGGTTAGATTTCTGCCAGTTTAGTGAGGTGAATTTGTTCGCTGATGAAGACCTGTGCCAGTGCCAAGGGTGGAAGAGGAGCAGAGGTGTAGGCTTCCACCTTCTGAGTGGAAAAAAGTTGTCTTAATAACTGAACCATCTGAAAGAACCACTGCCTAAATAAGATAGATGTATCTGAAAGCCTTACCACTACTTGTAGATGAGTACAAAATTATATTGGTACACCTTCATGTCCCTGCACAAGCCTGTGAGAGATGTTGAGAGATCTTGATATAAAATATCCAGCACATTCAGAGAAGAGATGCCAAAAGAATAACTGTAAAAGACTATCAAAAAACCACCTGAGACAGTCATTTTCACGTTATCTCAAGAAATGTCATCAGAAGAGGGAAAAGAAAGGCACAATGCTTATTCAGTGCATCCTAATTTTGTATATATTTAATTCAGGAAATGTTCAGCTTTTCCATATAAATCTATTTTTTTAAAATGAACTAGCTTTCAAATGACTTAATTTTACGCAGTAAACACTACTGTAGGAACGTAGAGACAAAAAAGTTTTCCAGACTATATACACTCCTGTTGTATTACTTGGGTCATAAAAAGAGAAATTAAAACCAAATCAGTAGCTGATCATCCTTCTATCAGTCCTGCATGGATCTCCCTTCACCTCACATGTTTCCATGTCCTAACTATTTGCCCACTGAAATGGTCTTGCAGCCTGTGTGTGCCCTGCTCCTGCTTCTCCCTCTCATGTCCATCTCCAGTTTGATACGGAAATTATGCTTACTTATAAATATAAAGGTAATGCAAAACTCTTCAATATAGCCACCATATAGGTCCACTTCTTGTGTCTTATTTCCAAAAGCCTAATCACTGTTATTGTTAGAGAGCATATTTCATTAGTTCAGAATTTATTTTCATAATGAAATTCTATATAAATGTATGAATTCTATGTATTACTGTAACTACATTGACACTAATTTACTCAGGTAAATTTGACATAAATCTAACAACACAGAAGACAAACTCTGACTTGATTTTTGAAAGATGAATGACTTCAGCAAAGCTGCCCTGGATATAAGTCACTGTAACATTAGTAGGAAGAAGGGAAAAGACTGATTTATCAAAACCAAATGCAGTTATTGTGCATTAAAAATACCCTAAAGTAACCAAGCAACTTTCCAGTTTAGCTTACAGGTCTTAATTGAAAAAACACATTTAGGGAAACACTGTTCATAACATCAGAGGATTTCTTTAACTTTCTTTTAGGTGCACTTGCTGCAGATAGGAAAAAGGTTGAGTACGGATGGAGAGAGTATGGCCATTTGGTCAGTTTGGGATTTAAGCGTGCACTTGCTGCAGATAGGAAAAAGGCTGAGTACAGATGGAGAAAGTATGGCCATTTGGTCAGTTTGGGATTTAAGGATCAGAAGCCTGAGACGTGGATAAGATACATGGTAAGAGCATCCCAGGGACACTGAAAAAGGGAGGATGAAGGTGTTAGGCTATTCTGTGGGAATGGCAAATTGATCTTGGGCTGCTTGGACGTTATTTTGATGAAAAGAAATCGATATATCTAGGGAGAGGAGATGGCAGAAAACTGCTTGGGATACAGCTGGGAAGGGAATCAGAGGAACTGAAGCAGAAACTTCATGTCGTATAAATGAGGTGCCAGGAAAACACTGTCCAGTGTAGACATCCTAATACATGACTTTGGGCAGAAATGTGGACAGTGTGAGGGGAAAAGTGAAGGAAATTCTCACCATCTAGAAAAGGGTGAGCAGCGCTCAGCTGCACGTGAACACACACACAGAGCTCAGCTGCTTCTCTCTCCCAACTTCTTTCCCATCCAGTCCTGTTAAACAATGTTTAAAAAACTTACTCTGAGCAAATACTCTGTGTTTTAATATCTGAATTATTTTATTAGTTGTTCAGAACATTCCTTAGCAGCTGAATTTTCTTGGTTTGGGGTTATCCCCATTGTGACAACATGCTTTTGTCAAATTTCTCGTAATCTAGAATTTTCATGTCCGGGTCCCAGCCTGTCCGAGACTTGATGTGGGATGTATATACTCTTAATATTCAGGGCAACATGTCTTCCATT